CGACATCTCTCAATAGGAATATGAGGAGCTAATTTCATTAACTGATAAAGAAATAAAAGAATAAATAGAAATAGATCAACTTAAAATAAACCTCATAAGCTTTATCCAGTACTACAGGTAGTAATTCATCTTTATGTACTTCAAGGAATGACTTCTTTAATTTACCACTAACAGGATGATTACAATATAATATGATCTATAAAATAAAAGTAAGTAGTAGTATATACTAAGTCTGTCTCACTCTTACTAAACACATTTCTTTTGCAATTTGTTCTTCCTTTTCTCTCTGTCTCTTCTCAATTTCTTCCAAATGATCTATTAAAATATCAACAATCAAATGATTGATGACACACATCATCAATTAAACCTTCAATACCTTTTATAATCTTCTCCTTGTGTTCTCTTTCAGTCATTAGTTCCATATTCATTAATGTTATTCTTTCTTGTAATTTCTCTATTATTCTTTTATTATCTACTAATGGCTGATAGTCTGGTCTTGTCATTGCTTTAAGATCAAATTTGCAGTCATCAATTTCAAAAGACATTCCTCTTCTGACTTTGCTAGCAGCTTTAATTAATCATTATAACTAGTATATAATTAATAAAACTACTCTAACCTGAATCAGTATTACTAGAAAGTGAAAGTAATCTCAAATACTCAACCTTCATTTTTGATAATTTGTTAGTCAATTCTTTGTTTTCTTCTTTTATCTCATTAAACTGAGAGCTCAATACAGTCAACTCTTCATAAAGTGGTTCTTCCTATTAATAATTATTATAATTAATACAAAGTGGTGAGATATACCTCAACCTCGTTAATTGATTCAGTATCACTTTGAACCGAGAATGATTCTTCCTAATAATCAAAATATTACATTTATGTAAATTATGCAATCAAATACCATTATAGCAGGTAATTTTGGAGGAAAAAATTTTGGCAAATTTGGCATCTTGATAAAATAAAATCCACCATTTTGAACCATATTATGCACATGCTCAGTGGCATATACATGTACATGTAGCCACAAATTTAGAAAAACTTTAGCAATTCACCAAAATTTAACTCTCCAAAATTACCAGCCATATGGTACATCAACCAACATTCACCCATGTAAAGAATGCAAGATCAAACTTCTAACCTCAGTTACTTGAGCCATTGATATTTCTTGTTTCAAATCAATTGCTTCCTATACATACAATTAAGATTGTATTGCACAGTTTGGTAGTATGACATACCTTCTCTTTGCTACTTATAGCATCTCTTAGTTTATATTCAGCTTCTTCAAATATAATATAAGAAATAACCTGTACATGCAATTAACACATTATACATCAGTCATCATACAATCAACTAAATTGTGACATTGTAACTGACATCAGTATGCTGTAGTAAGTCTTGATCCTTTTCTTTTAGCTCCTATGCAAACAATATTCATAAAACAATATTCAACTACCATATAGGAGGTATATTTCACGGAAATTTAATTTTGCTAATTTCGCGATTTTCAAAAATTCGTGAAAAATAATATTTAAAAAATTGTTTTTTCTGTGAATAGGTTGAAGGTGATTTTCGTAAAATATTTTCCCAGGGAAATATACCCCCTATGAGGTATTCATATTATCTACCTTTTGTCTAACATCTTGTCTCCTCCATAATGTTAAGTTACCAATAGTCAGTTTCTTTAATCCTTGTCCCATTAGTATATGAATATTCTCTATCATCCTCAATACAGTAAACCCAACATCAGAGGAAGGAAAGGAGCAAGTGACAGATATTGAAGTGGAGGAGCCTATAATCTTAATGATTAGTAGTTTACCAGATACTTTTGATAGTATATCTTTAATATCCTTCAGTACATGTTCCTCAGGCTCCCAGTCAAAAATGAAAGTAACTGTTTCGCATTGAAGATCAGAAACAGAGTCAAATCTTTTGTCTAGACAAAGACTCACTGAGATTGATTTGTAGAATTCCTTTAACTCAGCTCTATAAGTCTCAATGTGTTCCTTTGCTTCAGTGATATTCATTTCTTCAACTACACTACGAAGAAGTGCAATGTCAGTCAGTGAACACTCATCTTTAAAATGACAAATGATGCTAGAAATATCTGAACAATTCTCAATTTTTTTACTGAGGGAAGAACTATAATAAGACAAGAACTCTTTGATGTCATCCACGTCCAATTTCCTCCTTAAAATCTTGCAAACATCAAAAAACATTTTTGCATAGGACCCTCTTATTCGTTTAAAAGTCTCCAGTAAATATTGAGGAACAGGTACTTTAACTATAAGTTTCAATAATAATCATAATAATAGTTTTATCAGTACTACCTTGAGAAGATTCGGATGATGAAGGTTGTGAAGATGAGTTACTAGTAGCTCCAGTATCAGTACTACCTACAAAAAAAGGACAATAAATATTAAACTACGAACCATTAATTTTGATGATAATACATACCAGATCGTGTATTATTTGGTATCCTGGTTTCATTGGCTGTACTTGTATCATCTATAAAATATTAATAAATGTAATATCAATTAATTAGTAATTATTATTACTTTGTGGAACTACATTATGATCTTTAATAGTCTCAGGAACCACACCCACTTCAGGAGCAGGAAAATACTTACCTAAACACACAATAATAAATAAACAGTTGTGTACTGATAGTGTGGCAAGTGGCAACATATGCCCACATCACTATTTAATTAACAAGCTAATAATTGACAACCCCACTTAGACTGGTTTGTCTGGTTGTTTGTACAAGCAATCTAACTCTTTAAGTCACCTAATTTTCATCAAAAGTGGGTGTGATAAAATAACAGCTACCAAACGGGAGTAAATTATCAGCAAAATAAAATTGAGCTGCTATACCCAAAAACTTTTCCAGTAGTAAGGACTGATGTTAAGAAAGGAGCTGTAAAGTTGACTCTCTGATCATGTTGTATGGCAAAATAAAGCTTTAAGCCAGTAATAACTATTCAGTATTAATCTGTGCTAAATGCTATAAGCAATTCATCTAATATTGAAAAATAAATAACAAGCACACACATTACTACATTTGTAATGGGAAAGAATGCACTATGTATTTGATTGAAAGCAGGCTTAACAACACATTCCTAAGAACACAGAGATTATCAGAGATTATATTTTAAGTTGACAAATATTTGCCATTTGCTAATGGTACTAATTTAACGTGTACTAATATTTTGGGATTTTGCTCTTTTCATGCTCAACAACTATTAATAAATCTAGATTATTAATAAATGCCAATGCAAGTACTAATTTCTGTGATTTTAAAACCATTTGCAAAAAATGCGAAATTAGTACTCACAAATAGTAGTGGCTTTAAGGTACTGTATAGCTCCAAATTTTCATCAGTCAAAAATTTCGTCAAAATCTTAATTTCTTGCTAAAATTAATTTTTGTCAATAAAATTTTTGTCAATAAAATTTTTGTCATTTTTGTTATTAATCCGCATACGACCCACGTGGAACAAAGATTTTGTCGGTTAAAAATTTCGTCAAGCAAAAATATCTGACAAATTTGACAAAATTTTACTGACAAAAATTTGGAGCTATACGGTATAGTTTTATATAATTTGATTCATGATTCTCACCCACACATGACTATGAATTTAATTTGAGTTGCCCCTGACAAAAGATACAGAGATTACATTATGATACTCACTAATATCATCCAGTATAGCTTGTCCTTGTTGTACATTAGTACTTATTGTACACAATACATTAGCAAATGTATGTAAACTGTTAGGATCAGTTTGAACAGCTTCTTTGACACCAGTTAATAGAGCCTCACGTTGATTAGGAATAGAGGGACTAGCTGACACCACTCTACTAACTGCTTCTTGTGTTAACATACGTTCAGTATAAAGTAACCAAGCAATACTGACAGAATCACAAAGAGACTGAGACAGGACAGTATGACGATTATTAAAAATGTTAATAAGAACCTGATGTTCTATGATAGAAAATACAATGATTATAGTTACATACAGTTATGGTTGACTCACTTAACTTCTCAGCTACAGCAGTTTCATTCATAAATCGTAGAGCATCTGACAGTGAGTCCAAGTTGGCTCCTCCTCTACTGTCAACATTATCAGTTCCACGGAGCCATTGGGAGATACACTCTGTCAAGCATTGATATACATCACCACGATGCTTTGCTTCAATGGCTTCCAGTGTATCCTTTACTAGTCCTAGTCTCAATCCCAGCTCTTGCCACTTTGTTCTTTGAAAGCCACATTTCTTTAATAAGTCAAGAACATTAATCAAGTCCACAATATCTATCAGTCAAAATCAAAATGTCAGATCATATAATACCACATGACTACCTAAACATGCTTGATTAGTGGCCATAATTACATTAAAAGAAGTTGCCCCAAGGCCAGGGGCCTCAGAACTGAATTACTGAACAGCACTCTTTTTTTAGTCTTCACCAATCTGGGTAACGCCCTTCTTCTGCAGATTAGAAGGGGCGCGCCAAGACTAAAATTTTGTGATATTTTTTTAATTCGTCTGTAAATTTGTAATCCGGGTCCATTTTCCTTTATGTGAGTAGCATCATAGATAGCATGCAGATTTATAACAGAAATGATGAAAAATAACTTTAACAATAAAAATTTGAAGCTATACAATAATTAATTGTGAGTACTTGCATCAAAAGGAGTCACTAAAGAACAAACTAATTACACATTGTACATATATTTAGAAAAACAATTTTATTTTAAAATAATTATTAGCTAGGCAGCAATTAATTTTTTGGCAGAGTAGCAATACAACTTGATACAAAACTCAAAATCAAACCAATCCATTTCAGTTAGTCAGATCAACCTCTACAGCTACATTGTGTAAGTTCAGTGTATGCATGTTGATGTGTTCCCCAATCCTCTTCAACCTACAATAAAATAAATGAGTCCATGAATAATTTAGTCACAAAGATCAAAAGCCTAGAGTATAAAACTACTGTATACACTAAAGTAAAGCTAATCATTAACTGAAAGTACATGTACATGATGAAACTTGAGGTTTACTGACCTTGCTTCCTCTGCCTCTTGTATTTCTGATCTCTCTTTATCTGTTAACTCTTTCATTTTCTCTCTATTGTCTCTAAATAATTATAAACAGTAAGAGGTGTACCGTATAGCTCCAAATTTTCGTTGGTCAAAATTTTCATCAAATTCGTCAGGTACTTTTGCTTCACAAAAATTTTAACCGACGAAATTTTTGTTCCACATGGGTAGCATGTGGATTAATAACAAAAATGACAAAAATTTTTATTGACGAAAATTAATTTTGACAAGAAATTAAGATTTTGACGAACTTTTGACTGACAAAATTTGGAGCTATACGGTATATAAGTGTGTGTGTATACATAATGTGTGTGTGTATACATAATGTGTGTGTTCATTAGTACTTGTAATATATGACACGTCCATCATCATATAGTCCAAATGAGTATGTGGCTGAAGTGATGGAATACCATGACAACTTATTCTCAATATCAAGACATGATATCTCAACTGGAAATGATTTACTCTAATAGAATCAGAGAGAGTATTAATACTTGTATGGTTCAATGATTAACCTGTGTATAAGAGATATACTCAGCAGGAACTCCACTTAACTCTGACAACTGTAAAAACAATAATGTGGTATTTTTAAATAATAATAATAATAATAATAATAATTGGGGCCAGCAAAAGCGAGCCCCGCTAAAGCTGGGTTCACAATATTTGCATTGCAACTAGAAGTGCTATATAATGCAATGATAAACGCAAGAATAGAGCAGAGTTCTATTCTTGCGTTTACCCATTGCGTTATACAGCACTTCCGGTCACAACGCAAATATTCTGAACTCAACTTAAGGTGAGGAAACGTCTATCTGTATGGGCCGTCTAACTATTATTAAAGTTAAATAGCCCAATCTTCATTGAAAGCGGGTGTGGTCACAATGAAACAAAATGGCGGCTGACAATCAGTAAGTTTGATTTCATTTGTAGCAGACGGTCAACAAGATAAGACTAAACTGCTGTCTACAAGTCTTTTCTAGCAAAAATAAAGATTAGGAAAGCAGATATGCAATCTTTTTTCTTGATATGAAGGACTCTGATAAGCAGCGAGAAAAGCTACATGTACAGTGTAGCTGCATGAATCATGATCATGAGACCTATTCTAGGTGCTGCTTCTTCTCTAGCAGCAAGCCTAGGTTAACAAAGCAGATATACAATCTTCTTCAAACATGATTTATTGCTGCAGAGATCATCTTAACTTGAGTGATAAAATGATAACTTAAAATCAGGGGCGGATCTAGGATTGGATTCTTGGGTGGGCCTTGATGATTTGGGTGTGGTAATTAGTGGGTGTGGCCAACAAGGCCTACATTCAAAGTCAAAATTTTGAAGATTAAAGCTGTTAAAATGAGCTCCTTTGTGGTTTCCAAATTGTTTGCATAGTCATGCTTCACAATTTACATAGTCATCCACATTAAAAAGTTGATTTTAAATTTTACTGCACAAAATTTTTGGGTGGGCCTGGCCCACCCCTAGATCCGCCCCTGCTTAAAATCTATCATACTGTATTTAGACTTGTGGAATTGCTTTTCTTGCTCATAAATTTGCATGTAGATCATACAGCACACAATCTATAGCTTGTTTAGTCTTGTGACTACATCAATGTCAAAAAAACATTGTATTGCTAATTAAAATGTTAATTGTTTTGCTCGCCCCTTAATGTTTTACATTCATCTAGTAATAATAATAATAATATGATACTGATACATGTATGTAATCAATCATTATTATAATTTCTTATAGTACCTTTTTAATAAAATGCTTAGGACTATACGTATCTATAACTTCTTCTATTGGATCAACTGAACATTGTGATGGACGCCATCTTATAATATACATCTGTATTTGTCCAACATACATGTACATGTACTTCTCTTCTGGTCCTAATGAAATATACATGCATAGAAGTATATTAATTATTATGATAGATCCATCATGTAAAGTATGGTATGATTATACTGAAAATACCATAATAGTGCTTTAATTTGGCAGAGTTTGATTATGGCAAAATCACCCAATATTAAAAGCACCAATCATTAATACACATGCATAATAATGCATGTGTACACAAAAATTGTCAAATTAAAAAAACTGCCAATTACAATTTTACAGCAAAATCACCAAATAAAGCAATATACACTATACAGTATACTGAGATATACTGACTTTTCAATGGTTCCACATACATTTCCCTAATGCTACTAGTAATAAACTTATCATCAGAATATACTCTACCAGGAGACACTCCCCTCTTGTAACGTAATCTCATTCTACACAATAAGTCACATGATAGTTATATGATAGTCACATGATGTACTTACTTGTCTAATTCAAGGACACAGTCAATTCCTTGTACTTTTGCTTCTTCAATAATTTGTTCCTTAAATTCTCTCACTGGTGTATCCTCAGTAACAATAGACTCCATCATAAAATTACAAAACTAAAAACAAAAAAATTATAAGTAATAATAATTAATGTGCTTTACCTCTATACTGTTAACTTGTAATAAATATAATTTAATTCTGTACTCTCCTTCTTGTAATGGTCTGCCCAGTTTTACTATCAACTAGTATAAGCAAAGTAATAAAGAGATGAGTGTGTGTGTGTTATTAGTCCTTACAGTACAGTAGGTATAATGGAAAGAAGTGAATGATCAAATAACATGCTAAACTACATGTATACCTTTGATTCAGATATATTCATTAATATCTCATCCAGTCTCTTCAATTCATATTCTTCATTACCACTGATTCTATACACTATAAAACCAGTAGATGGTACACCAATCAGTGGAACTAGCTCCTCCTTCAATTGAGCTAATGTTATTCTCTTATCAACTTGTACCTGTACTTCTGCATTGAATATAATGTTTAATGATCTTTTTTAATAATACAAATTAATATTTATCATTACTTCTTTCTTTTTCTTTATTTTCTTCTTCCATTGATATAATTTTCATTACTATTCTTCCTTCTCTTCTATTAATTGTAGTGGGTGTGCTGGGTTCAAGTCCAGGGGGTATTATAATGCACTTGAGCTGAAACTCAATACAATTGTACATCAAACTATCTTTGAATTCTTTTTGATAATCTTCAGGATCTGATGATACATAAAACAACTGAGTATGTGACAGTGTGTGTGTGTGTAGAGGAAAGATGAATGTATACCATATAGCGCTTTAATTTTGAGGAGCTAAACTTTCACTATTTTCGCGAGTTAGCATGAAACCACGAAATTAAAGATCCGCTAAAATTTCAATTGCCATTAAAGGTGTGGCACAAACATTGCGAATCTGCAAAAGTTATTTCCGTAAAAAATTGATTTATATCCATCCGCAAAATTTTAGCTCTGCAAAATTGAAGCACTATATGGTATAAATGAATACAAGAGTTATCTACTCTTGATGAATATCATTTAAATAACAGAGACATTGGCTGAAATGCATGCTCAATGACACATGGCTGTAAAGTACTAATGCAAATTTTTGACAAAATCACAAAATAAAACCCCAACCAATATTTTGATAACAGACCATACATATATACATGTACGTATGCATGAATGTATAATTGTCTAATCAGAACTGCCATAGATTTAGCAATTTTGATGACATTTAAAAAACTAAAATCCTTTATGCTTGAAAATGAAAGTAAACTTTGGATGGATAGACGAAAGTTTAATCTCTCAATAGTTTTTAGCTATAGTACAAATAATGTATGAACTAACAGTACTGTGTCCTCTCATATTGAGTGTCTCCTTTAAAGTACCTCCTACACCACTAATATCACAGACTGAAGTATCACTCCAGTAATCCTCCTCCTCCATTACTAGTCTCATACATGATGAATTGAGATTATATGCCTAGAGAAAGAAATGGACCAGATCAATGGAGGGAGGGAAGGAGAAAAATATCAGTTTCCTCTTACTTCTCCTATATGCTGTTTTAATTTTTCAACAGTCCAACCTAGCCATGCTCTCATTTTTTGAGGTGGTCCTACTCCTACTACACCACTTGAAAGATCAACCACTGATACTCTTAGATTAATAGCTATATATAGACCATCAAACACATGCAGTACATGTAAGTATAGGTTATACACCAAGGTCAAGGTTTCTATGGGATATATTGACTGAGGGACGCAGTCCCTCGGTCAATAAATGCCATAGAAACCAAGACCAAGGTGTATAGATCAGTTGGCGCTAAGTATATTCATAGAATTTTAAGTATATTCATTGTGATACCGTAAATAAAGTAAAGTTTTCCTTCTGCCATTTTGGAGTCCTACTTTCCAATGGTTGTCTATGGAGCAATCGTGAAAAGAGCTTATTCTCCAAAAACTGCTGTATTTATTCGTTACAGCAATATTGCTACTGCTTACTGACCATCATCCAGTGTCTAGAATTGGCTCATGGACTTTAATAAGTGCCACTAGAAGATATAGAAGCAAAGATATTACTTTCTCCCATTCTACTCTTAGTAACTAAGACTCCAAAATGGTGGTAGGAAAATTTTACTTTATT